ATTTTAGAATTCAGAATTAAATATACTTTACTGGTTCCTATGTAAATATTTAAAAGTTATATTTTCGTCTTTCCACCTTTCTTTAAGTTTTTTCAGGAACTGGAACTACAAGGTATTTTTCTTGATTATGTAAAATTCAATTTGGAAATAAATCCCATGGATCTTTCAAAGCTGACTGTGAGTATTGTATATATGATATCTAGAAATGGAAAGGTCTTCAGAATGGTACCCATAGAAGAATAATTCTTTGTAAAAACACTAAAAGGATACCAGAAAATTGCCATGGCTATTATTATTATTATTATTATTATTTATTTTTTTTAAATATTTGGCTGAAATCATTTGACCTTTACATATTGTCTTTTATATTAGCTTATCCTGTAATTTGACTGTTTTTGGCTATTTAAAAAGAAGAGATTAAAGGAACTTGATTAGAAAAGATGTTTTTGGTTGGTAATAGCAACATGTCAGAGCTTCGATATCATTACATCATGTGGGTTTTGGTTATTTTTTCTCTTTTGAAATCCCTCTTGGAGACCTTCATTGGCCATGTTTAACTTGTGTACTAAAAACATTTTGATTTCTCTTTCAGTGTTATCTGTCACACGTTAGTTTTTATTTTGGATCAGTATTATATTGTAAATATTCTGCATCAGTGTACATAAATGATTTTACTAAACTTAAAAGGCTTCTGGCTTCTTTTGTTCAGATGAACAAGGGAATGTAAATCTCCACAGAACAGAAAGAAGGAAGAGGTAGTCTTGAGACCTGAAGCCCAAGGGCCAGATCTGGCCCACGAGGGGATTTTATCTGGCCTGTGCCGGGTCTCTGCCCCACCTGGCCTAGGCACGGGGGTGCAACTTGGGCTGTGGCGCATGCACCTGGTCCTGCCGCCCTGGTACAGTGGCCAAACTCAAGCTTCCCTTTGGTGGTAGCTCCTTCCTGCTGCTGCTGCTGGTGTTGCCGCCACCACTGGACATTTATAATTTAAATGATAAAAATATATATTATAATGATAAATGTACATTATAATTCCATGTGCACGTGTGCACACCCCCACTCCCAAATGTCCCTTACGGCAGTCTGCGACCACGTTCATCCTGTCCCATCAGCCAGAGAGACAATCGCCATTCTCTAACTACCCTGCCAATATTATAGCCCTGTTTTAAGTGCATACCATCGCACATATATATAACTTCTTAATATCTGCTTTGGCATTTTATTCTCCTTTAAAAAAGAAATTCTGGTTTGGCTGGTGTGTGATGATAGTGATGCTGTCCTGGGATAATAATACGGGGAAGACTGAAATGATTTAAACTTCCCCTGGTCCTCAACCGACCTGAGCAGCCCTACTGTACCGCTACTCCTCTTGGTGAGGGTGTGAGAGCGGTGTCCGACCGAAACCCCAAGAGCGGTGCTGCCTGATTCATTGCTAATGTGGACCTTTTTACATTTTTTTTAATAACACTGCAGTAACTGATGCAGTTGCTGGTAAAATGGGTGGTAAGGCCCAAGTGGGGGATTTCAAAAGTAAATGCTTTAAGCTGAAGGCTCTGATTTTGCCATTTTTCTTCACAAAAATGCCCCTTTCAAAACGGCTGCCTCCTGGCAGCGAAGTGGAAGCCGCAGGCAGCCTTCGGCTACAGAAGGGGGGGGGGGCTGGCAGGCATCTGAGGGGTGGGAGGCTACAGGCAAGGGGAGCAGTGTCGGGGTGCAGGAGCCAGAGCCTTGTCTGGGAGGGTGCAGACTCGGTGAGAGGGGACTTAGTGCCATGGTATGTGATGGGTAGGAAGGGGTCCCTGACGGAAACAAATCTGGGACAGAAAGGAAAACTGGAGCACACGTTGGATGCACAGAAACACGTGTTGAGAATTCAACCGGCATCCTGCCTTTCCTAGTCTTTATACCTCCATAGCAAGGCACAGATGAAACAGAACTCCTACAGTCTGGGCAAAAGTAGCCCTAAAATTAAGACCGAGTATTATTAGTGAGACCACAGAAGCCCAAATTGTTCCGGCCTTGGTCTGAAACAGAGAAGTTAAACCAGTAGGCCCAGAGAAGTGAAGGTGGTCTCAATTTACAGTACTCAGAGCTGAATTTGAAGTGCAGAAGCTCAGGCTGGCCTTTTGGTTAAAAGTGGGGGGGGTTTGCAAGATGGTACTTCGGAGTAAGAAGTAGTGGAGAGGGAGACATGCCTCTGTGAGCTGGTCCAACACCTGGGCAAGTCTCAACTACGTTTTGATCTGTCAACGGATACGTAGAACAGGGCAATTTGAGGAGTGACAGTCTGTGCGGGGAAGTGCTGAAGCATGGGATATTTGGCAAAGGGATTTCTCACTGGGAACAAAGAAGGATGCATAAAGAAATTCAACTGACTGGCAAGTGCTGGATAAAGAGCTCTTGCCAGGCAGTAACACGTCAGGAAGAGTCCTCGCCCCAGAGAGATCAGCTGCTCAAGGTTTAGCTGGGTCCGAAGAATAAAACAGCTGTGAGGAGAGAGAGATTTTGGTCATAGGGCACGTGAAGTATTTGTTGAGCCTGTACTTGACACACGTCTGAATAATATGTCTTTGTATTCCTTCATTCCTAAGGATTACGCTGGATCTGGAGCAGCATCTTTAAAGGGTCCTGACGATAGTTGCTCAGAGGAGCCTATGCTGACGGTGTTAACTGGTCCTGCTCAATGTCTTAATATTTGAAAGACTAGCTTCCTGCCATCACACCTCCCACCTGAACTCTCCAAGTATTTTACAGGCAGGCACTTATGAATAGTAGAGCTGTACTTGTGAGACTCTAGGCAAGTATTATGCCCATTTTATAAATGGGGAAGTGAAGCACAGTGACATTAAAAGCAAACTCCTAGCCCTAGATCACAAAAGAGCAGCAAGGAGGAGGATGCTACATATAGGAGAGTGTAGGGATGCTTTATTGTATTTTCCTCTTTTTTTCTTCCATTTTCCCTTCAGTTGATGAAATTCCATTAATGAGATGCTAACGCACCGTTTATGTGCGGAGAGACTGTGAATACTGGATATGCAGTAGCCTTGAACAGGATTTTCAGGATGGTGCCCGGCAGAAGAAAAATTCTTCGTAAAAATGCTAAAAGCATACCAGAAAGTTGCCATGGCTATTCTATTTTATTTTTTTTTTAAATAATCTTTGCTGGAAATCATTTGACCTTTACATATCTTCTTGTATATCTGGGTTATCCTGTTGTTGGCTATTTTTTAAAAAAGATTAAAGGAACTTGATTAGGAAAGAGGATGTTTTAGTTTGGTGATGGCAACGTGTCAAAATTCTGGTATCGCCACCTTATGTATTTTTTCCTTTGAAATCCTTTTTTGGAGACCTGTGTGGGTCACGTTTAACTTGTTCTTTGTATTAAAAAACTTTAATTTTCTTTTCCAGTTTTATCAATCACATTATTTTGGACCAGTATTATATTGTAAATATTTTACATTAGTGTACATAAATGATTTTACTAAATTTAAAAGATTTCTGGCTTCTGTGTTTCGTAAATGGGAAGTCGCATGGTTTTTTATAAAAATCAGCTAAAATAAACCACGCAGAATAACACAAACATAGAATATGTTTGTACTCGCAGCATCTCAGGGGTGCTACGAGTCTTTATTCTTTGTAAAGTGCTTTGAGTAGCTCACAGGAAAAGGACTGTATTTAAAGGTAAGCTTCAAAACTAGGCCAGACAAAGCACCTACAAGAATATAGTAGGTATCAATCTTGCACTGGTAACGGTGGGCAAATAAAATTAAACCTCTCTTCTTGAATTACTATGGGACCTACTAGTAGGTGCCAGTAGCATGCACTTAGTAAAATACATTTAGTCCCATTCCTTGAGAGTATCTTACGTGATTTAGCTGTTAACTGATAAAATTGAGGAGGGCAAAGACTATGTCTGTACTCCAGTAGCTACAGACACACGTAACTGTAATAAATCTCACCTCTCCTTTCATACCCGGTAACTCACCCTATAAAGGAATCCTTGGAAACCATTAATTCTTATCTCCTTTTCCCTTAATATACAGATGCAAAAATGTCCTTGTTGTTAAACAAAACCAGGGAGGAAAGGGCGGCACTGCATGATTCGGAGTACCCCTAGCTGAGAGTTTGGGACCAGAACAGTGTTTCTGGTGAGAACCTATCAGAAAATTGCATCACGACATTTCCAATAGAGCTTTGTCCAAGTTTTTGATCCACTCCAGCTGTTATCCCACTCACTGATGTTTCTCCTTGCCCCTTGGGTTAATAAACTCATAAAATGTAGGCTATAACACACGGAAGTATATCAGCTCGATATTGCCAGAGCCCTAGTCGAACGCAGCCAGAGGAGGGGATGACGTTGATCATCCAAAGCTGTATTCTGACTGATCTCGTTCAGATACAGAAGAACCCAAATGACCAAACCTCACCTCAAAACAAACTGCTTTCGTGCGCAGGTCCCACTAATCGAGTGTGGCCCAACGGGTGTGTCAGATCCTATGCGAATGCCTCTTGACTGGTGGAGGGAATACGTTTTAAGGAAAGAAATTTCTGTTTACAATTAACAACAACAAAAAAAAAGGCAACGTCCAATAAAATACTTAATGAGGAGGCCCGAAGAGCCGTCCGTGCTTCGGCCCAGCGCCCCGCGCCCATCTCCGGCCGTGGAATGTTCACGTTCAAAGCGGCACAAACGGAAACGGGCGCCCGTTGCGCCATTCCACGCCAGGACTGCAACAGTACCCTCTGAAACCAGCTTTTTCCTCCCCTTGCTTTACAGCACCGCATTTCCTTTCATTTTGCTGAGGCTTGTTGGATTTTCTATGCTACGTAAGTCATTTAAAGGGCTTTCTGGTCGGCCTTTTTCTTTCTGGTATGCAACGTCTGCCCCGGCGCTAGGGAAATGGTTTGGAAAGTACGAGGGTGGGGAGAGGCCCACAGAAATGTATTTATACACAGGGCAGAATATGCTACGTGTTACCTGCGGCTGTCCTAAGACACGAGTAAAAGCAGGTGGGATACAGCTGTATCGTTACAGTTAAGTCGAGGAGGGAAGCAGCCGGCAGAGGACATGGAGAGAAATTGGGAGAGGCATCGTCTATTTTGCTGGAAAACCTTGGGCTATGATGGCTGAAGGCATCTCTCTGTGACCGACTTGGTGGTGGTGCACTCAATCTAACTTAACCCAATGTTTCCTTTCTCTGCTCCAGGTTGGGAGGCAGTGCCCATGGATCAGATCCAGAGGCCAGTAGGACTACTTCGGCCGTGGCTCAGAGCAGGGGGTGGAGCGCAGGAGACCGGGGTGCTCCTTGAATTGGGAGTTCCTATTATGCTCCTGGGGCTGCTGCTTCCCAGCACAGACTGTGGCTCACATCCACCTCCAGGATTTGCTTCCTATGAAGTAATTGTTCCAAGGAAGTTTGTATCAAAGGAAGGAAATGCTGCCAAGGATGAAATGTCCTATGTCATCAAGGTGGAAGGGAGGAATCAAATTGTTCACCTGAAGCAGAAAAAAGGATTTATAGTAAAAAATTTACCAGTCTACACTTACGACCCCCAGGGGAGGCTGTTGGTAGATCACCCCTCCATTCCAGAGGATTGCTACTATCATGGGTACGTAGAAGATAGCCCAGAGTCTCTTGTCGTCCTCAGCACCTGCTCAGGACTGAGAGGTTTGCTCTGGATTGGGAGCTTACAGTATGGCATTGAACCTGTGGAGAGTTCCTTGATATTCCAGCACCACCTCTATCGAATAGGGGAGGCCGGTCCTGAGCCCACAGCGTGTGAACTAACAGATGGAGAGATAGAAAAGCAAACTGCTGAAGTGATGGAAGCTAGGAAGCATGCATCAAAGAAACCTTTTGTGTGGGGGCAGACTAAATACCTAGAGTTTCTAGTAGTGGTAGACAAACAACGCTACGACTATGCTGACAAAAATATGACTAATGTGGTACTGTCAGTGATTGAAGTAGTGAATTTGGCGGATGAATTTTTTTCTTCCCTTCGTCTTCGCATTCTGCTGACCGCGTTAGAGGTTTGGACAGACGACAATCCAATCAAGATAACAAAGAACGTAGCTGAAGTTCTGCATAATTTCAACAGTTGGAGAAAAGCTCAGCCACTCACACGTGTGCCACATGATGTTGGACACCTGTTTTCATTTAACGATTTTGGAAAAGTCCAGCAGGACAAATTGACCGCAAAATCCTATCATTACAGTGCCTGTGACCGGTCACGTGCATCAGCTGTGGTATCATTCATCAACAGTCCTGTGAAAAACTTCGCTCTGCTTGTTGCTCATTTGCTGGGACACCAGGTTGGTATGGTGCATGATGGACAAGCATGTGCATGTGGCAATTCATCTTTCTGCATCATGGACCCAGCTCGTAGGGAAGTCTATCAATTCAGTAACTGTAGCGAGAGATACTATCTTAACTTCATGCGTCAAGGCAAGGGAAACTGTCTGAATAACCTCCCAGAGACTGGGGTATTTTTTCTAATGCAGCGCTGTGGTAACCAAATTGTAGAAGGAGGAGAAGAATGTGATTGTGGCTCTGAGAAGCAGTGTAGAAAGGACCCCTGTTGTGATCACACTTGCAAAAGAAAAGAAGGGGCTACTTGTAATATTGGAAAATGCTGTAAAAATTGCCAGCTTCTTGTAGAAGGGACAAAATGTAGAGACACTGTAGGCGAGTGTGACCTGCCAGAGTTTTGCAATGGGACTTCTCCATATTGTCCGGAGGATACGCACATACAAGATGGGACTGTATGCAGTGGTGATGGCTACTGTTTTTACGGGAAATGCAATAGTCACAATATACAATGTGAAAAACTCTTTGGCAAGCCAGCAAAAGCTGCTCCAATAAGCTGCTTCAGAGAAGTGAACATGAAAGGGGATCGGTTTGGCAACTGCTGGGACGGTGGGGAAAATGAGACATTTGAGAAATGTAAACCAGAAAATGTATTGTGTGGGAGGTTACAATGTGTGGATGTTAAAACGCTACCTTGGTTGGAGGAACATGTGACCATCATTCAGACTCTTGTTAGCAATATCTGGTGTTGGGGCACAGACTATTACTCGTTGGCAGAGTCAACTGATTATGGATTAACAGAAGATGGTGCAACATGTGCTGCAGACAAGATATGTTATAATCAAACATGTTTCAATCATTCAGTATTGCTGCAATTATCGTGTTCACCTTCTTCAACGTGCCATGGAAGAGGGGTCTGCAACAATAATGGGAACTGTCACTGCAAGGATGGCTGGGCCCCTCCATTATGCCAGTTTCCTGGCTTTGGAGGAAGCCGTGACAGTGGGCCTCCACCAGTTTCCAAAATAGGAATTCTCAATTTGATTATGCTTATTATAGGAATAGTCCTTGGTGCTATTGCTATAATTGTTATCCTTGCCATTCTAATATTTAGACGTGCTGCTGTAATGCAAGCAGTTAGTAGAACAGTTCAAAACATTCGGTCTAGAACTCTGTCTCCCCCGAGTGATAGTAGGAGCCCGCAGAAAGACGACACAGTTTAGCTTCACAAAGAAAATACAGAACGGAAAGTCCATTTTTTAGGGGGTCTCTGAGCAGTTGTGGAAAAGACAAGGTATTCTTAAAAAACAACTGAGAGTTTCAGATAGTTTAGGGGTTCACATAAAGTTACTTTCTAAACGCATACAATCAATTTTATAATTTTTAAAAGGAGGTGCAAAAAAGTACAACTCCTGTTGTCACACAATTTTTTTTTTTTTAGTCACTTGTAGCATGACAACGGGCAAGGATTTCTGTTTCCTCAGCCTCACAAGTGCAGCACATAGGCAATATTTGTTTCCACCCTTTTAGAGATATAAGCAGTAATAGCAACTCGATAATTCCCCTTGTCGTTGCTCTGATTACTGCTGACAGCATTTAAGAAGTGCTTAATACAGGTATAAGGTGGGGCCAAAAGAGAAGTCCTCCTGAACAGGATGCAAAGAGACAGCTGAAAGAAGGCAAAATTAATTCACAAAAGTGAAAGAAGTGGAAGGACCATCATTTAGGGTTACCTGGTATTGCTTTGCCATGGCCTGGCAGTTCCTACTAGAGCATCTGTGGATCCAGATTACTAGACCCCGAGGGTTCCCATGAAATTGTTTTATTACCCAAAACTCCAGCATTATATTTCTATTTTTAAATAATATTTAAGTAAGTTTACTTTGCATAGGAAGAAAGAGATGTTGGCAAATAAACAACATGAAAGTTATCAAGTTTTTAAGGTTTTTCTTTCTAGCTAACTACAGAATATGGAAGAAAAAAGTTAAAGTAGGACTTCAGTAACTAACCTGAGTGCATGCATGACCACATTGTATATATAATGATGTATTTAAAAGGTTTGAAAAGGGTGCATCTAAGACTCTGGGCCCTTTGATGTTAAATACTGAATTATAATCCACCTGATCCCACCAAACTCCCCCTTCTGCAAAAGCCAGGTATGGAGAGATCCTATGGAGCATGCTGAAATGTTCAGTTGACAGGTATTTGTAAGACACAGGAGGAGGGGAACTAGCTCCAGAGCTTTAGGGATCTTCTCTGAGAATGTAAATTAACAAACACGTAAACTCACAGCACAGAAAAATCAAAGCTTCTGTCTCAAATGGAAAGCTGTTTTTTTTTGCCCTCTGATTTGAAGGAGCAAGAAATGTTTTAAAGCAGCAATATTCTGTACAAATAGTCAACAGGCTACATCCTGCTTACTTTGGTCGTGTAAAGAACCTCAATGACTTAAAATGGGATTATTCTCCTTGGTACACTCAGCTGATCAATGACCAGTTCGGAGGAGAGAACTGAAATGGACTCGCCTGTTTAGAGTCAAAGCAGAATGAGGCATATAAAGGAAGTTAAGTCTTAAGCATTATTTCCATGTTAATAATCTAAAGATAAGGGTATCGGTTTTCAGAAAGTACACTTGATATTTCAGTGGGTTTACAGGACAGGGGGTTAGGCTGACCTCTGATTCAACCTGCCATCATTATTTTACATTGTAGTGCACTCAGCTTCTATCGTTGCGCTTCTTTGCTTTTTATATTTTGGTAATAAGAGCATGATTTTAAAATATTCCTCTTTACTTTATTGTCAGAAATTTGTCAGTACAATGTGACAATCACTAAGGCAAGAAAAATATCCCCTGGCCATCTCTCCTTATGAGAGAGGCAGTTAAGGACTGACACACCGTAGCAATCCGTGCAACTCTCAGATATTTCCATAAAGAAGAGACTGCACTAAATATATTACAAGGTAAAATAATGCATTAAAAACCCTATGAAATAAATAACAATCTTCACTGAGAACAGTTCATCTCCATCCAGATTTGTACAGACCCGCCAGCCTAAATGTAACTCTTCATGCCTATAACTGACAAAGCAGTTAAGTTCATTCCAGTCAAGAAAGTGGCTCTGCCTGACATCTACCAGATGTGACCAGGCCAGGGCTGGAAGGTAGCAGGGCATCTATTCCTCTTTGCTGACAGAGAACTGTCAGAGCACTGTGGATGTAGATACTGCTACTGCCTGGGTGCTGGGGTTGGGCACGCTGGCATAAAACTTCTTCTGGGAGCGCAGGAGAGGTGTCTGCGTGTCAACGTCGCGGCAGGCTTTGCGTTTCATGGACTGGAATGCATTCTGGGTCCACCCATACACGATACAGTTTAAGAGCCCCTGGGAAGCTGCAGTGAGTGCCTAAGAAAGACCCCAGAGAGGTAAACACTCTTTTTCATCCTACATCATGCATAGTAAGTATTAGGAATTAAATTACGTATTTTTCCTTGCCTTCTGTACCTCTTACACTTTTCTAACTGGATCTGGCTTAAAGTGAGGATACATTTTTAAGGGAAATGCAAGATTTATTGAAATTGGAATAAGATGTTAAAGTCCCATTAGGGCATAATCTTGGAAGTCCTGCTCCAGAGCAGTGTTCCCTCTAAGCTGTGTGGTGTGCTCAGCCACACAGGCCTGCTCATGCCGCGTTGCCATGCACGCCTGTGCGGCCACGCAGTGTAGAGGGAATGCTGCTTCAGAGCCTGGTGAAGTCAGCAGAGGAATACTCGCTGACCTGAGTGCACTCTGGCAGAAGTTTCAGTGTGCTAAACTACCCCAGCTGCCCTTGGAAGCCAGTGCAGTATCCTTCCACCTGCCCTGTTTCCCAAAGCTTTTTTGTTGAGCACAAATGGATAGTCAGAAGTTCCACATGGCAGCTGATATTCTTTGAAAACTAACTGTAGGTGGTGGATGACATTTGAGAGGTCAGTTCAAAAATCTGCCTACAGCCATTCCCAAGTTCAGCAGAACTGAGCATGTCCAAACTTGGATTAGAAACATTTGTGTCAACCCCAAGGAAGTGGTGAATGACGATTCAGTGGGTGACTGTTTTTCCCTGGGAGTCACTTCTAACCCCAGACTGGTGTGTCAGTGTTATGCTTGTAAAAGGGAAGAAGAGAACTATAGAAAGAAAGGATCATTAGTATTTGGCCCTCAAAGACTTAAGTGTTTGCACTTTTTAATGTGCAGAAGTTCTTCTGGCCTCTGAGACCAGAAAAAGGACACAAAATAAACTTGAGAACAATTAGTCTTTCCAAACCCCAAGCATGCATTGCGCATAAACTCACATGACAGCAATCTATAAGTGAAAGCATATAGTATATTGCATGCTGGATTTAGAAGTGGGCCAACAGCACAGCTGGATGTCAAAAAGACCTGTTCTGAGAGATTTCATACGCTGAGTTTTACCTGAAGAATATACAGAGCCATGTAGAGTCTGCTGTTCTCTGAAACAGTCAACTTCATTATTCCAAGGAGGACAGCTGGAAAAGAAACCGGTAACATAATTTTGCTGTTGCCTTTATACCTTTGCGTTATCACTTGTTCTCTCTTATATCTAGTAGCTAGAACACAAGATTGGGAATCTTGTAAAAAAATAACTTAGTTCTCTACCAACCTGGACCCCAACAACAGAAGTAAGCGATGGGGTAAAAAACCACTCTTTGTTCCACCATCTTAATCACTGCCCACTGCTGATTGCCCAAGAATCCTGATGAGTTTACATATCTTTTGTACAACCCTCGGGCTTGAATGAGTAGAACCTAGAAAAGAAACTGCATTTCTTAATATATATGACTACGTATGTGTAACTGGAAAATTCACTGCATCTCATGCACAGTTGCAGTCAGACGCACGTTCATCTAGAGTATCTAGGCCAGCAGTCGGCAACCTTTTTTAGACTGCAGGCCAGAGTAATCCAGTTTGGGTCAGAGAGGACCACTGGGACTAGGACCCAGCCACACCTCCTGTCGGTGTTCTTTCCTGCAGCAGCACAGAGAAAGTGCTTGCAACCAGGTCCTCTCCCTGTGGGAGCAGGGAAAAATGACTGTTGCTGAAGCCCTCTGCTGCCAAATGACACTGAAACCCCATGTCTGCAGGCCAAATCCAGCCTGCAAATCATAGATTTCTGACCCGATCCAAGCCATTTGGGCAGAATTTAATCTAGGAAACCTCTGGTAAATAGACCCTGCAATGCCAGATATGAGCAACACTCCCTTTTGTTTGGCATCTGCCCTCCTACAGTGGCCAGGCCCACATGCTTAACAATGCAATATAACATATTATTAAAACAATAATTTGTCTGTGGGGAAAACAGTGATTGACTTGTTATAAATTTCTTTCCCAGCAACTGCAACTCTAGATAGTAGATCTGGACTCCAGGAAATAAGCAATCACCCTTAGCAGTTCTTATAACAACACATCCCACTCTTTTTATGAAATTCCTGATCACACACTAGCATTTCTGGTATTTGTCCTACCTTAAGTTATTGGATAGCATTGCTAGGTTCTGTTAAACAACTACTGCTTTCCACTTCAGATGTGAAAGCATTTCAGTGGAAAGTGGAAGAGTTCCTAAATGTGCACAAAGGGGTAGTTTTTTGGGTGGAACACCTACAGGTACCCAGTGGGAATAAGACATTCACAGCCAATGTATTTTAAATCTACCATATATAGAGTTATTTATACTCTGGCCCTCACCTTGACATGTGGATATATCACACACAGAAACCAACATCTGTTTGTAACTGCCCACTGTGGTTTGAAACTTCCTCTTTGGTCACTGATCCTCACAGAAGAATAAGAGAAAAGAAGAGAGAAATCCCTCCATAGCTTGCTTGATCTGGTCAAGCAAAGGCCTGGCTCAAACGTAAGCTTTGCATCAGTGCCCTGAAGGCAAACAAAGCTGAGTGCTTGGGACTGCCAAAGAAAGGTAATTTAATAGTTCCTTTGATGATTCCAAGAGTGAATATAAGGGCTGCTAACATAACCCACCTGTGACTGCAAAGTGACAGGGGGATCATCCAGATGGGAAGCACTATCCTTACTGCATATACTCACAGTCTGATGGACAAGGAAAAAAGTGTTCTTACCAGAATGGTTATGAAGCTGACCCAGAAAGAGATCAGGAAGATCCCGATGCCATACAAATATATCACAGAACAAAGAGAGCCACCAACAGGTTGCAGCTGACCAGTGGGTTTGTTTATTTCTGTGTGCATCAGGAGACACCTGGAACCAGAAAGGGGAGAGCCTGTGTATTTACTTGGGGGGACTTCTTCTAGCTGTCTCGGAGGGAGCGAGGCATTCAGAGTTGAAGTGTGGCTTACCCATGTTTCTGACTGAAGTTCCCATAGCAATCACTACCGTTGCCCAGGCAAAACACAGGAACCATAAGTAGGAAAGGGATCAAGCTGAAGAGAGAAAATGACAGTAATTCAGTTAAAGAAGCTGCTCTCTCCTGACCCGACCAGCATTTTCTTTTGTGCTTTCATGGATATATAGTGAAATAATAGTTCTCTAACATCCAACTAATATAAACTTCTAGCTTCTGTGCCTTTATTCATATGGACAGCAGGAGATACACCTGGGTAACAGAGTATAATTTATTTCAGTATATTTTAATAGTCTTGTACTACTACTTCTTGTGTCCTGTCTGAGACTGTTGTGGACAGGTATTTAGCAGAATTTGCAGATTCATTAGAATCTGGCAGGGCTACGACGTGGGCACTGCTGCTATGCTTCTGATAACCCAGAAAGATCCTCATAATCACAATAATGTATATCTAAGCAACAGTACTTTATATTTTCAAAGAATTTAAAAACTAGATGTGATCCCTACCAGAAATTATAATCATTTCACAGTCATATCAAGATCGCTTGGAACAGGCACCGAGATGGTAAGAATAAAACCGAGATCCTCCAAAGGGAGAATCATCGTTTGGTGTTAGCACCAGGGGATCCAGGACACACTGATCTAGTCCCATTTCCAGTCTCTCTCCCACACACTCATACATGGAAGCACGTAAACAATGGCTCATTACAGCTGGACACATTACAGCTAATTTAACTGGAGGAAAAGCAATCTGTGTCCGCTGAGGTTCTGACTGTTGGTCAAAGACCCCACTACTACCAAGTCATGCAATACAGAGCCAGGATTTAATAATAATAATGGCTTAAAATATAAAGATGAGCTTTGACCTAGCACTGATTCACTGAAAACACCCAATCTCAGAGAGAAATAGACCTTACCTGCACAAAATTGTTGCTGTTCGGCCAAGACAGCTACCATAGTCTAAAACCTGCAAGAATTGAAACTTTTAGTTGAACAATCATTCCTTGTATGTCATGAGAGCTGTTAACTTAAGAGGATTCACACTTGGAGGGTAAATTATCAGGAGCTCAGTTCCATAATGATATCTGCTTTAGTAGAGGTAGTAAATCTTGCCAAATTACTGAGGGGGAAGTACCAAATTAACAACTGACATGTAAAATAAGCCACAAATCTTGGCTTCTGAGACCAAGCCTAGTAGTCCCATGCATGTGGATCTCCTAGAATGATTCTCACTTAATCATTCTCCTCCAAGGAAACCAAATGAGGAGAAAGGTCTCGAACAGCCAGTCAGATTCCTGACTACACAGGAAAAATGAGAGAGAAAAGTCAGAGTTGAATGGGGGTAAGGTACACATCAGTAAGTCGGCATGAGCTGAAACATATGAAACAGGGTGAGGCTGTGTTTAGAAAGCCACGAGCAAGAAAGCATACGATAGACTTGCAGTGCTTTATCTTAAGCCTCCTTATACTTCCCCGCCTTGTTTTCTTGTCCAGCTCCATTCTCTCATTCTCTTGGCATGTAAGCCACACGACTACTCATTCACTGGACGAAATCATGACCTCAGTTAAATCGATGGGAATTCTCTCCATCAATTGACATGTGATTTTCCCTTCACCGTAGGACTTGTCCTATAATATCTCATCAGATTGCATTAAGGAAAGAATAAGACACATGGATGTAGTTTTGATGCTGTCTTCCTTGGGAGGAGTAAATGAACATGTACCATTTAAGCCCTGAAGACCAGTATGTAAGTTATTACGTTTACCAGATGCTGAAATAATTATTAGCGTGAGAATCCATGAAAAAGACCAAAAAAACAAAATAAAGATTCCACTGAATAGCATGGAAACATTTTCCTTTGAGAAATGAGTCACTTGATGGCCACATACACTTGGAACCAAAATCCTCTTGATCCACATGGCTCTGCTGCATAACAGCTCTGGGGTATCTGCCCAAAGCAGAAGGGACTTGCAAATAATAAAATGTATTGAGACCTTTACGAGGTGGAAGTGTTTAACAAACGCTCATTAGTTAATCCTTGTGTCAGCCCTCTGAGGTAATTAAACAGATTTGTTTCTACCTGTATTTCGCAGATGGCGAAACGGAGGGTCAGAGATAGGGTCTCAGACAGGAGCTCCCGGCTCTCGGGAACTCATTCTGACCATTAAGCTACATTTCTAAACTTTGGAAGCATTTCCCCACTGTGGTTTCAAGGCATGTTAATCCTTATTGAACCCAAAATGAGGGATATACAATGCACTGAGGATGCATAGTGCAACGGAAGTTACACAGATTTAACTTTTGTAACTGCTTCTCCCAACAATTTGTCGAATGGCTGCCCTTCAGAAGCTGGAAGGATCCAGAGGGAAAACTTCAAAATGGAAAACAGACTCTTGATGAAGTCTTTGCACACAATTTTGTGCAATAGAAATTGGCAGGCTCCACAGAAGCATAACCAAACTGTGAGAGGAAGTACGAGAGTCAGAGTCTGCTTGCTGGAAGACGTGCCATGGCTGCTCACATTAGACTGCCCCCAGGAAACGGTGGGCTTGGCCCACAACTGGGACCATCCAGTTCTGCAGTCGTGGAAAACCAGTGGCATGAGTAAAAACTCCCAGCAAGAGTCTGAGTTTCAAATAATGTTTTTCTTGATCAGAGCTCCTTCTTGCTCAAGTTCACATAGCTCTACAGACATATTCATGCAATTGCATTGTGGGGTAATCATGTGCCACCTTTTCTGTTGAACGATGAGAGAAACCAGAGAGCAGGGTGGGTACATAAACACGCATCTTGATTTCCCCTTTAAGGCAGAGAAGGAGAACTTAACTGGCATCCTGCCTTCCTCTTTCCCAGAGGCACCTAGGCAGCGAGGCAGAGATAAAGCAGAACCCTTACAGTCTTTGGACAAAAGTAGCCCTAAAATCAAGACAGGTTATCAATATTAGCGGGACCACAAAGGTCCAGGTTGTTTCAGCCTTGGTTTGAAACAGAGAAGTTAAACCAGTAGGCACAGAAGAAGTGGCGATGGTCTCAATTTACAGTGCTCAGAGCTGAATTTTAAACACGAGACTTCAGACTGGCCTGCTGTGTAAAAATGGGGTGGGTGTTTGTAAGAACTAATGAAGAGGGAGAAATGCCCCTTGGAGCTGGTCCAACATCTGGGAAATTCTCAGCTGCATTGTGATCTGTCATGTCTGCTTTTCACCAACAGAAATGTGGAAACTTAAGGAGCGACTGTCTGTGCGGGGAAGCATGGGATAGTTGGCAAAGGGATTTCTCACTGGGAAAAAGGACAGATACACAGAGAAATTCAACTGACGTATTCATCAGGAAGTGCTGGATAAAGAGCCTCTTGTCAGGCAGTAATACGTCAGGAGGAATTCTCACCCCAGAGATAGCAGTTGCTCAAGGTGTAGCTGGGTGTGAAGAATGACATGTGAAGTGTTTGTTTAGCCTGTACTTGAAGGCTGTTTTTCTGAGTTGTGTGTCTTTGTATTCCTTCATTCCTAAAGTTTACGCTAGATCTTGAACAGTGCGTCTAAAGGCTCCTGACGATGGTAGCTCAAAAAAGCCTATGCTGGAGTACCAACCTGTCCTATGAATACTAATGCTGACTTCCATCACACCTCCCACTCAAACTCTCAACATATTTTACAGGCAGGTATTCATGAATGGAGCTGTACAATAAGCCTATGTGATCCTAGGTAAGTATTATGCCTATTTTATACATGGAGCAAGAGAAGCACAGTAATATTAAAGAACAAATCCTACTCCACCTGTTTGGTGCCTAATTTGACTTAGGTACCTAAATACAATCCTATTCCACCTTTTTTGAGTCCTTGAAAGTCCATTAACACAACTATTTTTGTAACAGGCTGTCCTCTTAGATTTAAAACTAAGTCACACAAAAAAAATAACAAGGAGGATGCACCCACCTTTTGTATGAATATTTTTCCAGGACTCAAGCAGGGTGGAAGAGGAGGAGCACTTGGGCACTCAATAGGTAGAGGAGGATCTGTCCCTACATGTATTTCTTTCATCCTTTTTTCATGTTGCTCTTCATGCCTGGACTGCTCCTCAGTCAGGCTGTCTCTCTTTCCTGCATTACTGATGACAGATGATGCCATCATGCATTGCCTGAGTATCTGGCCCTCTGAATTATTCTTCCCTCCGTGACCTACAGTGTAGATTATCTTCTCTGTTTTGGTTTTTCAGGCCTACTTTAACTATCAGGACCTATAACACAGACCCACATGGAGCCCTCTTGACCTTAACCTGTCAATCACTAAAGAAAGAATTACAGGGCTGGAGCTTCAGACTGTAAATTCATTGTGTCCAGAATTGTCTTTCTAATGTATGTCTTGGACAGCGTCGTAAGTCTTAGCACGGTTTCTTAATATGTAATACATGAAAAACCATCCAACAGCACTCACCAAAGAGGACATCCTGTGAAGGGTCTGACTGTATTTCACTTTCAAATCCATGTATAGATGCCAGGTATAGTTAATGGTGTAGAGAAAAGAAGCCATATAGAAAATCTGAGAAATAAGAACAGGCTTAATTTTATTCCATCAATAACATTTGTGTTTTTATGACACTTTACATCTCCAATGAACCCCAACCACTAATCAAGCTACTGTATATTAACTGCAAAAACATACCACGATACAGCATTGGAGGTAAAATATTAAACACTGTGGAGAGATCAGGACATGCCAAAAACTGCCAATGCCACTGGACATGGGCAGACAGAGATGTGATAACAGACCCACTTTTTCAGGCTACTTTAAGCAACAGTGAGCTCCAGCAGAGGGACTATGCTACAGGCTTCCCATCTTATCCTGGGAAACATTAATAAAGTAAGAGAAACTTGAGACTTTGTTTTAATCAAGACAACAAACGTTCTTGGGCAAGAAGATCAAGAAAGAACTGACGACTGTTTCTGAGTCAGGAGTGGCGGGATGGCTCTCCAACCCACGGTGGGAGTTGAACGAGAATCCTTTGCTCTTCTGCAGTGTCTTCCATAGGACAGTCTGCAAACATAACTCACTTTAGTTCTTATGTACATCACAGTCCTCCCTGAAAGCCAGGTAACTATTGTTCTCGCCTCTCACGTATAAGAAACTGAGGCACAGAGACCTATGCAAAGCTACTCATTGAGTCACTGGTGGAACTAAGAAAAGAGCCTTGCTCTCCTGACTCTCCCCCCTCAACTTCTGGTATTGAGGATAAACTTCCAGGCCCTGGGCTGCCATCCCCATCACTACTTGGCATATAGGAATGAGGCTGTAATATAAGAGAATGGAAAGCACTTAGTTTTCTCCTCTTTGGTCCTTAATTATAATTAGTTTCCCATTGTGTCAGCCAAACAGAGTGGAATCCACAAAAGATCTCACTGTTCCATTAGAATTAATTGGGAGACTGCGGGTACATTTCATAATTACTGTGGCACCTCCTCTGTTTCTTGTAGCATGGAATCGATGGCCACGATGGAAAAAAGATAAACTCACAGGCCAGCAGAAGGGAATGTATGCTACGTTTTTATTTAATTTATTTAACTATCTGTTGGAGGCTGCAGTGGAGAAAAATCCCTGCCTAAGACATCCTAGGTACGTGTCTGCACTTAAACACTTGCAATGATCAATACTCCACAACCTCTCTAGGTAACCCGTTTCAGTACTTAACCTCCCTCAGAGCTAGAAATTTACAGGCACTAGTTTGTATTGATTTCTTTTAGGCCATAATGAACGGGCCAAACAGGCTCAACTGCTTGTGTGTGTTTTCTGCAGGCATGTCACACGGTGGAACAGTATGGAGAGGCTTGCACTGCTGTCCCTGTGCCTTTAATCTGAGAACACTAAGAAACATCAATTCCTTGCCCATCTCTCGCCCCTTCTACTTAAGAAGTTCAGAGCATTATAAACATTATCAGAATGTGCCTGGGGCATGGATTAAAGGCTTGGACCATTTTAAACAAAATGTCTATGAACACAACGTGAGATTCCTGAGCCAGGGGACTAGAAGGGAGTTGTAGATGGTGGTGAGAGATATTTCTTGATTTAATTACAATGCAGATCACTTGTGACCTGCTGAGGTGTTGGTCAAAAGTGATTACCAACTCATATATGTCTGAAGTTCTCACTACATTCAGTTATAGTGAGCATGTTTCTTTAACGAACTGTCCTGTATTTTATCACATGGTGCATATACTCCACAGGTTGCTACGGGAAGTACTTGAGGTGTTTTAACTCCTGCTAGAGTCAACAGTAGAAAGAGATTTCAATAGGGCTGAAGGCTGGAGCACCCTTCTACCAGAGACTGACTGCCTTCGTCTTTACCCAGGGAAAGTCCACTTGATCCCCCTTTCCTGGACTGTGGGGAGCTGGCCACTTAGGCCCATGTTACATTGGAAATAGGGTAAAGGCTTCATTCAACTTTCATTGCACTTGGGAAACAGCAGTGGGAACCTTGAACTGCAGTACTGTCCCACCTGGGGCTGAAACACAGCTGAGGGCTGAAAGTGTCTCTTAAACAGATGCAGGACTCGCTGTACCTCAGTGTACTCCTTATCCATTTAGAGTAGCATCCTGCCCCAACTCATGGTCTGGATTTCTTGCTTCCAGAGAAAGTAAAGCTCTGTTGTTTTCCAACTGTCCCTCTCACCTCCATGTTCTCCAGGTGCCTGCAGATGCCACCAAGGGGCCTTGCCAGGGGCTGGGAAGCCATGGAGTGCAGTCCCCTGAGTTCAGTGGTGATGAAGCCTTACAATTAATGCCATGAATCTTCAGGGCCTTAAGCACACTGGCTCCTTCCCTGCACTTAGGGCAAGAGGGGGCATCTCTGAAGTCACTGCCAAGCCCACATCTCCTGAGACACAACAGAGCGCACCGCTTCCAAGCAAACCTGCATTCCCATCTTTCCCTGAGCAGACGGAACCAGCAAAAATAGCGGACATGATTGCTTTCCAAATATATACACGTGTCATGGCAATACAACACTCTGACGTTTTTGGGCCATGCCTGGATGGATGGTGTAGCCCTTGAAAACCATGCTGCAATGAGAAGCTTACCTACTTGGCCTATGAAGTGACTTCCATCCCCAAAGCTCCCAGCAGCCACATGCCCAGAAAATCCTTTCACATACTCCCCTTATTTCTCCCCCACTGTTCTCCTTTATGTGACCCCAGCTAGAATACATCCCTCTCCCCCTTGCCAAGGGACCACTACAGCGCATTCCCTAACAAACCTGTTTGTTCCCTACCCCAAGGCAAATGTATATCATTGTTTTTACAGCAGCACAAGAGGAACTGGAGAAGTCAGAGATAAGCTACAAGTGGAATAGTTGTGCACAAGTACAGCTCTTGCTATGATGAGTCATATGGCTTACCTAAGAGTACAGATGTTTAAAAAAACCCTAAGTCATGGTAACCTGACTATGAAATGTAGCACTGCGAGGTCTCATGCATACTATACACTGAGCTGTCTTCCTGCCTCTCTAGGATTTACAAAGAGCTATTTCCAACTCCCACTGACTTGGTTTGAAGGAGAGGAGTGGGAAATTTCCTGTTAGCCCACTTGGACAATTTGCAGCCTACAGACCAGATGAGGTTTGGTCCACATCTTGACTGCAATAAAAGAATTAGAGAAGGAAAAGAGACTGAGTGGATCATTATCTCCATCACCCACAAAGCCAGTACAGTATTGCTATTTACAGCAGGCTTGCCAGTGCATTGTCTTCTCCTGTTCTAGGGTGCACACTAAACTCATCCAAACACCAGCTGGAGCCCCCTTGTCCTTTTGGACATAACAGTAACTTTAAACTTCTGCAGCCTCTGCGAGTTTACATAGCCCCAAAGTCTCGACTGCATACACTCCATGCGTTCCTTGCAGCTCAAGCCATTCCAAGGTCCTGTAGCCACCAGAGGGCAATGGGTTTTTTTGCTGAACCAGTGACACCTTTTTTAGAGCCTCCTTCTCCCCCTTCTCCTCTCCTCCCTGAAATAGATGGATGTCTGATGTGCACCAGGTAATGACAAATAGGTTCCGACAGGAAGAAACCCTAATGATGCCAAGGCAAGCCATCAAGACAAAGAGGACTGTCAGGAAAATGCTTCCACTTCATTAATGCCCCTGCACATGAATTGAGTGCAGAACAGGAACGGGCAGCAGACTTGCAGGGCAGCAGACGCAAGCAGCAAACCTCAGGAGAAGCACTCTGGCAACTGAGTAACTACTAGGCTTCATTGGGACAAACTGTGAGGGCAAGGACTATTAATGTAAGAGGATGCTTTGACGACTGAGGTTTTCAGGTCTTGGCCTAAAGGAACATTAGAATTGGGTCTTTTGCAGGGAGGAGAAAACTTCTAATAGAACCAAAAACGTAATGCTATATTACACATAATGGCAATCTTGGTACCCTTTCAAAAAGAGAGAAACCATCAACTATTTTTATGACAGATAATCAAACACTGCAGCACATTGCTGCCCTGCCATGAGCTATGGGTCTATATTATTTACAACACTGTACAGATGAGAAATGGCAATCTTTCATATTAAGATCAGAGAGGAAGCCAGTGCCTGAGCTGTATTTAGGACTGCATTCAGAGTTTTCTTCTAGGACAGTTCAGTCAATAGTTCAGGCAAAGCAACCTGACAGCATAAGTTGATAACCCAATGTTACTCACCTGCCCAGCTGCTTGCAGGTTATAGCATATGATATCCTGATTTGTGGTTTGCATGCTATAGAGCAGAGCCCCAGCAAGCCAGCAAACCCCCAGGAACAGGTCAGAGAGGCTTAGGTAGAAAAGAGGGCGCACCTAGAAAAGTCAAATGGATTAGTTAGTTTGATGAATGCTCTAGGTAGTCTGAACCAACTTCAACAGTTAGAGCTTTGCTATCCTTCTCCTGATTAACTTTCATGCCCAGGTACCCAGCTAGTGCTGTTATCCGTACACTAGAAAGTGGTGTTGGTTTGTGCACTTAGGGAAGGTTTACACCAGAAGTGCCCAGAATAAATGAACTTCTGTATCACGTTATCAGCTTTAAATAAATCCACTGAGCTGCATTGAATTTGGCTGTATGTGGTTTAAAGGTTCAAAATCCTATAATTTGATAAAGAGACTGTCCTTCCATGTCTTACGATTAGCGCCCATAGTGACTTAAGTCTGAAATAATTTTACACACCTGAAAATTATGCAATGTGACTGTTTCTCTGCTGCATCTTTCTGCATTTAAGCACCACAACAATCCCTGTTTATCGGCAGTTTCTAGACAATTTCACATTCTCACACGCAAGCAAAAAGCTGTTTAAGTTGGACTGTAAACACTACCGGGAAATGGCCAACATTTTCTGGGCCAGCTGGAGTTACTGGGGCTCAGCCTCTGAAAATCAGGCCAATTATGCAGACACTAAAATGTAAGTTTTGGCTCCTAACTTTCAACATCCAGGAGAAAATATGCTGGTCATTTTTTTTCTATAGGAATTTTTAAAGCTTGAACAAATCTGGAAACATTTCTACGGGCTTTAGTTTTTCAAAAGGTAATTTATTTTACAAAACCAATGTTTTGGACTGAATGCAACTTGGCACTGTTCTTTAATTAAAAACAACTATGCACCAGCACAAGTATTTACTTATAACAGTCTCCTTCATACCAGATGAAGAGAAATGGCTTGCTAAATTTAACATTGGTGAAAAATCTGGCCATCAGTTTGGTCCTTATTTTATAGCGACAAAGAGGCAGCAATGGATTTTCTTCAGGGTCTTTCTAGGTCTCAGTCTTTGTTCCGCCTGGAGTTTAAGCACCTCTTGCTTTATAGCGTCTGAGAACATGGATCTCTAGATTTTAGCTCAGAGTAGCACCATCCAATAGCTGCCGACCAGTGAATCAAACCTTTAGTCTCTGTGTAAATATCTTCAGCTAGTTTTTATGACTGAGTTCATTGTATTTACTCATTCTTCCTAAAACATTTTTTTTTTAAATGCTGCCACCCACTTGTGAATGCAGAACTGGACCGGTGACAAGAGGTATATGTACAGAAGTCTAGAACTCACTGATGGTTGTTCCCGTGGGTAGATTAAAAGAAAACCACCCTGGAAGAAGTGGATCAGCAACTTTATTGAGTGAACAGGTGACCCCAGTCATTGTCTAACAGTTCACCCATAGGGAAATGTTTAGGTACAAAAGCGGACAAGGAAGCAGATGATACTGTGGTTGAAGTGGAAGGCAAACTTGTTCTCATTTTCAAAAAGAAAAACTAAATGCTTTCTTTTACATGTCCTTCCTCTAGTTTACAATGTAATGGTTTAGAACAGATAGTTGGACTGGAAAAAAAAAGTGTGGGTATTGTGTGCAATTTGACTGGAAGTTCCCCAAAGCACATCTACCGGCAGATGTTTTTGAGCCCCTCCGATTTCTCTCCCACACAAGGCTGGCTGGCCAGGGGGATTATTTTGGTAACGTGTCACACCTTAAATAACAGTTAGTTAGTGCCGGGGGTTTTCTAGGCAACATACACCCAGAAAGTGTGCTTCAGTGTTTTGAAATTCAGCAGCAGGTCCCAGTCTGGATGAATCACTGTTTATAATTCTATCCCCCACCTGGCATAGCTGGGAAATGAACACCTGGTTTATCATACTTTACTCATAAAATATCACGAGTCGAGGAATCAGAGGATTGCTACAAGCATTAGGAAAGATTCACCCCCAGATCTTTACACAAGTGTGCAACTGACTGGATTCTTGCCAGGGTGCATAGCAGTGCACAGGTACTGCAGAGCTCACCTGCCTCTGAAGCATCAGGAATCGACAGCCAGGGCAGGCATTGCTTCTGCAGCAGAAGCCTTCAGAAACAGATGGCATGAGGGTGGAAATACTTGAACTACCTAAAGCCACCACCTCAAATCTTAACAAGGTTGACCTAGCCCTTGTTCTTCCAAGGTGAATGAGTTGCATACTCTTTACTCTGCGTGTTAGATGGCCTCTGTGTAGGAGATCTGAAATCCTGACATCCTGTAGATAAGACCCCAATCTCTAGGAACAGCCTAAACATCCTTTCCATACCATCACCCAATGTTGTGTTATGTTTACTTGACTGTGCACACATCCCGATTCTGTGCTACGTCCCATGGGGATGTGCGCACATAGGAATCAAAGATCTCACTCATGAGGTGTGCAATATTTTTTGGAGACAAGGAAGGTGCATAAAACAGAAAGCTTTGTTATAATGATGCCAGAATTAATCCTTAGGAGTCAGCAGAACTCAACTAATTTATACCTATTTATTACTTTTCAGCCCCATTCATTTTTCCATTTACTTTGCAATTTTCTAGTACACATGCTTTATGAAAAATATTATTCACAAATATCCACTGAAAGTTCATTTAAAATGATTTCCTAGTGGAACATTTGCAATATATATAGGTTAATTACACAGGCCACTTAACCAGGGAATGGAGGCAACTCCAAGTGACTGACATAATTACCAAACCTTGCAAATACTGAAGTTTGAATTCTGGAGATTTGCACCAAAACTGTTTTTAAAAACTCTTCACATGTACAGCAAATGCCACAAAAAAACATGAACACATTTTAGAGTTTACAATAGCTAAGCATTAGAAAAAGAGGTGAAACGCAAATTATTAAATGGTTTGCCCAAGGTTGTTCACTGATCTATAGCTTGGATACAGGATGTAGCTGCTCACACACTGATGTTGGTTCATTTGTGCTCTCGGAAAGGGGGCTCAATTCCACTTTCAGTGCTTAGTTGGCAGATGTGTACAAGTAGGTAGCCACCGAGCTTGATCCAGTTTTATCCTTCTAACCTTTCTAACTGATTAATCTCCACCACCTCTCTTCTTCCATTTCATGAAGTAAATCAAGTATTATTTATTCCATTGTTTGGCACATTTTTTGAGTCAGAGAGGTTAAGTGACACTCCCAGAGCGACAGAAACAGTCAGGGTCAGAACAAAGATCGAGACTACCGAGAGAAGCTGTCCGTTCCCAGTCCTGGGGTCAGACCACAGCGCCGCAATTTCTCATTATCCTCTTAAATCCATGCAGCGGGGAAGGATAAAAATCCTAGAAAGAGCATCTGTTGCATAAAACAATGTATAATTTCAGATAACAATCCAATGAATCGTTCAGACATCTGCTTCCAAGTACTAAATATTTCTTTTAAGGGTTAGCAATCAAAAGAGGATGTGCCTAAAAATTCTACGTAGTCCTAGCGGAGAGCTCGTGCACAAACATCTGCTTGGTTACATAAAGTCCAATTTATCCGCAGGGCACCAAACAAAGGCACTTAAAAAATGAAAGGCGGGGTCCTTACCTCCGGAGAGCGCACCGTGTTTTGGAAGACGGCGTAGGCAATGATGGAGCTGGAGCCTGTAACACTGACAATCGAGAGGTTGGCGTGAGACCAAAACCTGGGATTTCGTTTCATTTCTTCTATAGCTACAAAGCAGCACATCTACTTTTACTTAAGTTTATTAACATTGAAATCCAAATTAATAAAAAGTCACGTTACTGAGCTGGAACGACAAAAAAAGAGCTGTCAAGGATGTTACTAAACCTACACGCAATTCCTCACGTCGATATATTGCTTAAGTACCGTACCTTAAAGTGGCCATGACAAACTGGATCCATTGTACCGCAGAGTAAGCCTGGGGAGGAGTAAAAAAAGTGTTGTCAAAGAAACTTTTTTTCACTGTTATTGATTATAGCGCTTTTTATTATCATACTTTTTACACCAAGCAATCCTGAAATTATTGTTTAAATTCAATCCCAAGGGCAGCCGATTGCGATGCCTGGCAGAAAACCCCCGAGGCTGGGCTCCTGCGTCCGAAATGAAAACCAAGTGGATCAAATGATTTCTCTGGAGGCGAGGGGTGCTAAAACGCGCCGCGACGTTGCGAGTGGACGAGCGAGGAGACGGAGGGAAGAACTGAGAGAGAAATTGCGGCGGATGGAGTGAGAGAAGTTGGGATAGAGGGATTGCCTCCAGGAAGAGCAGAGGGGATGTAGAGACACTGGGGCGGGATGGAGCCGCTGGAAGACGAGAAGAGGGGTCCAGGAAGAAATGCAAGGGAGGGGGAGAGAGACTAGAGGCAAAGACATCAAAAGGGATGGGGCGGGCGGGAGACTCCGGGCTCCGCTCCCCTCCTGCCAGTCCCCGTC